GTTTTTTACATTTTTTTGATAAACTTCGAGGTTACTTACTGCACATTTCTTCATCCTCATCTTCCGAATTAGAACAATCTCGGTGTCCGTCGCATCTCCAAGATACTGGTAAGCAGTTGGTTGTCTTCGGTACATTTTGAAAAAATTATCGGAGCACGGTCCGAGTCGAATGCAGTCGTTTTCGTCTGATCCATCGGGGCAGTTTTGTCTGCTGTCGCACTTCCACTTAAGGGAGATGCAGCGATTTGATGGGCCGCAGGAAAATTCGTCAGAGTTGCATGTCCAATTTCCTAAACAAGTTGTAACAGTAATTTAAAAAAGACTTTAAAAATGAAGAGTTTGATGATTTTCTCATGGATTTTATCATCAGATCATGGACCAAATTTATATGGGGACCTACATATTCAACACATTCGGAGGAATTGAGAACATCCTCCTTTTCAAAATCTTTTAAAAAATATACACATACTTAAAGTATGATGCAAATGAAAGAATCGATAGAAAAATTTCTAGATAGTAGTAAAACAAGAGCCGTACTTTACCACTTTGGTAACCGAGAACGAAAGTTGTAAAGAAAGGTCCTTTATTCCTCACAAAGTCAATTTATTGGTGACTAGTTTCGAAGTGAATAACTTCATCATCAGAAACATCTAAATGGAAAGTCATGGAGTCAATGTATTGAAAGATAAAAATTATTTAATACAAAATTGAAAAAAAATGAAAACTTTGTCAACCATCCAGTTCTCTAGTAGCATGACGTACGTCCTGAAGAAGTATCTGAAGAAGAAGTGATCAACAATGACTCGAAGGTGTGTGACAGAGGTCGCTTCACCTCTATAGGTAAGCAGAAAGATAAAAAAAAATGTCGTAGAGGGTTGAAAAAGATAGGCAGGTGTGATAAATACAGGTATGTACAGCAGTGGGATTCGCACCTTTCGATACACCACGTGTTGAGACACCTATCTTCGTTCAACAGACTTCGGTTCTTATGTAATGTCTCTGTATATTTAAACATAATATGTCGGGTTCGCACATAAGAATTACTGTGCAGGTGTCGCTAATGTCACCTATACAGGTGAGTCTGATGTCCATAATATAGGAAAGAAGAAGAAAGTCAAAGCTGATCAAAGCGAGTCAAAGCTGATCAAAGCGAGTCAATGCTGATCAACTCTTGATTAAAAGCTTATTAAGACCTGATTAAAAACAGATCGTTGAGATATAAACGGATACAAATCAAGATCTATATAGTTGTTGAGCAGGTCTTGATTTGTTTTTTGATCAAGTTTTGATCAGCTTTTAATCAGGACTTGATCAGCTTTCACCAGTTTTGATCCTCTTTCTCTATCCTACAATATGGACTAGGTAGGGCTAGGTGATACTAGTCAATATTATTCAGGTTCACCTGTATAGGTGACATTTTGCCACACCTGCGTACACCTGTAGGTACCTTTTTCGCGCATGGGCAACACGAAATGATCGAATAATGGGAAAGCTGATTTTAATGATGAAAAAATCAATGATATCAGTGATGGTTTTCAAGGATATCGATTCTGGTGGATGCACCAGTCTAGAAAATGGAAGATCCATCTATGTATGTATTAGGAGGTGTCGATTCTTAGTCATAGAACGTCTGGAATGTTCAAGATGCCACATATGTATATAAATAGACCGTTTAAGTTCAGTTATAGTTAAGATATCGTTCTATTCACATAAATAATGTTAATAAAAGTTAGTGTATAATTAAATAAATATATTAGTGTTGAGTATCAAATAAATTAGAGTCTATTCAGTTGGTATAAATCTGAAGCAGTTTTTTGTGGTTTTTTCACAATTATGCCGAGTTTTTGTAAATTGTTTACGTTACTTCACTTACCACAATTTATTTCGTCGCTGCCATCATTACAATTTTGGATACCATCGCAAACCAGGTGCCTTTTTAGACATTGGTTACCTGCACACTGCAAATAAAAGAAATATTTATAAATAAAAATTAAAATTAAAAAATAATATTTTGAGTAGATGGCGCAATAGTTGAGGAAATGTTTCTTCATAAAAAAATCTGAATTGTAATTCGTACTTTAATATAATCTTTATTTCGTTGAGTTTTTTTAGGTTTCACTTAATTTTTGCAGTATTTTTTGAATAAAAATGTATATCTATGCAACCACAATTACTTTCGTTTGAATTGTTAGTTGCATACATTTCATTGGCGTATTTAAAAAATTATATAAGAACTATCCTCAACCACTTGCAGACTTGCCAGGAAGCTTTTAGGTTATCCTGACAACGCTACAGCAAACAAATATGTCTATACAGAATCTGCGCCTGACCATAGGCATTCTAATTTGTCTTTGTCAAGTACAGAAGCATCTCTTTATCATAGGACTGTCAGAATCCGCACTCTGTAGGGGGTGCTAATAAGATGATGAGACCATCGAGCATATCCTCTACGATTTCCCGACGCTTTCTCATTTATCAGAAGATTTCTGTTCGGCTGATATAAGAGAAGCACCTCTTGGCGACGTTGTCAAGTAAATTAAATGTGTAGGCTGGCTCACGAGCTAGGAGGTGCCTATCTACTTAGGAGGATGCACAATAGGTCTAGTAAGGCCTAAGTGACTTAACCCACCTTCCAAATGTTAGAGATACAGATCCTCAACTAATACCTCTCGGGTGGTTCTCTTGCTTGTTAAAGCTTGTTAGTTTTTTAAAAGTGTGCTACTTTGTAGTGTATTGAGTGAAACAGTGTTTTGATTATTTTGTGTAGATGTAGGATGGAAGACAGTGACCAAAACAGAATTATTACTAATTGTAAGTTCACTAAAAAAATCTTTTTATATAGCCAACCTTCCTTAGTCCTTCAATATAAACTTTCAAAGGCAATGTATATATATATTGATTTTTAAACCAAACAGGTTTATTTTTGCTTTTTTTTTGTGACAATGAGTTTTTCGTAAACTGACACAATATTTTAACTTTATGTAAGTAATTACATAATGTAGGTTATTTTGACACTTGTTTCGATTACAAAAATGTAATTTTATATGTCAAAATTGGAAAAATCTTTTTAGCATCTTTTGGGTATTTATTATAATACAATATGAATTTAATATTACATTTAAAATACCAAAAGTGATCACTGAAAATATAATAATTGGTGTATAAATTTCAGATAACCATCTTAAATTCAAACATAAGTTTGATGATAATTGCTGTATAAATTTCAAATTATCATCTTAAATTCAAACATAAGTTCATAAGTTCAAGTAATTTGTGTTAAAAATACACATTTAAAAAAACACATTAGTTATCCTTCAAATAACTCAATCCATCATGCAAACAGCGATTTTACACAGCCACACAAGCTAATAAAAGCTAAATATATTGCCTTTTCGACCCGTACCAAAGGTCACGTATACACCAATTTAAATCTCTAACGTTATAAGGGACAGATCAAAAATTTCTGTTTTACAGAAAATATAGTTAACCTCAAAGTGCTAACATATAGTGGCATTTAACGTATCCTCTATGGTCTCGGGCTCAACTTAAGTCATGCAGTGAATTTTTAAAAGCACGGAAAGCTGAGTTGTATAATTATGTAAAAAGTATTTTGTTTCGTGATTCCAATGATAGAATAAATATTGTAGTTTTTTAGTCAGCGTTTAAATTAGATGCTACGAACTTCCCATCCAAAGCTGAAATTACAGTTCTATATGCCCAGGGTAAACCTGAATAAGAAAATCAAAATCCGATTTTAGGTAACTGGGATTGAAGATATTTTTCAGGCAGAAAGATCTTCATTATTTTTATAATAAAAATCAATGACTTTAGACTTTAGTCTATAGCAAACAATGTAAAAAGGAATAATTTTCTGAGTATTGTTACCATTTGTGCTTGTAGGAAATTTAATCTCACACTATTTCATAATTAGTATACAGCTGTCTCCTGGAAAGCAAAAAATATGCCCAAGTTTTACATCTTGATGGCTGAAGGAAGTGATTCGCTACATGGACGATAACAAAAAATGTTTGAAGTTTAAAAGTGAAAAATATCGACCCCGAAACATGTAAACTGTTAGAGGTTTGACGTTGGAGGTGTCTGTGTTACGGGATGTAAGACGACTACGAGGCATCTTTACTGGTCGAACCTTAAAACTGGAGTGGTAAGCAAGAGGAAAGAGATTATTGTTGTAGGTGATAAGAGGGAACGTGTCAGTTTTTGGCGATCATTACATCATCTAGTGGAATTTTGCTAGAAATTATTTTTTCTCTATTGAGTGGAAAATAAAGAGATATCATATATAGCGGAATGCAATTTGAATTTGGGTAGTACTGGTGTACGTGACGTTCATCACGTTTTGGAGAAAATATATTTAGCTGGTACTGTATTTAGAATGAGATGAGATTGTTATTTGTAGGATAGAAAATGTGCATTTGTTGACTACGTGGGTTTGATAAATTGAACAGAAGCTGTCTGGAAAATGTTTAAATTTGAGAATGTGCTATAAAAAATACATTTTAAAAAATGACATAATAACAATCATATTTATAAGGAATTGATTATAAATTTCCCAAGTAGCGAGATTTTTCTTATAACTTGATAAAAATAACATGTCACAGCACAAAATCAAAAGACCTGGTTTTCTCTAGACACATTTTACACTCCTACCAAAAATTTAATGTCAATCAATTTTCTATCTCTATACCAAATTATGAATAAAATTGATAATTACCTTGAAATTATTAGGACAACCCTGCTCGACGCAATTCGTCTCATCCGAACCATCGCTACAATCAAAAATTGAATCACACCTGTCACCGATATCGATGCAGTAACTTCCATCTTTCACAGATGTCCCATTCAGACACTGGAACTGCCCTGGATTACATCGACTAACTTTAGGCAACACGAAGTCCTCAGTCACAGGTTTCTCTACAGAATTATTTTTGATGGCAAATATATCGTTATCTATTTCATTACTTTCGAAGTTGATTCTATTATTTTCCTCTGTGGTATATGTTTCTAGTGGTTCTATTGAAAGATCTTCTTCAGGTTCGTCTTGAAGTTGTTTTGGTTCTTCTGTATTAGGTTTGAGTTCAAAACCATTTTCTTGAACTTCCGGTTTTTCAGTACTAGGTCTGTGTGTAACGAACAATTTTTCCGTTGTTGTTAAGTCATCGGTACTTTCTTTAACTTCATACTGTTGAGGATCCAGAGTCGTACTTGTCTCCTCAGTTACGTTATCTTTTGTAACATTAACTGATGTCCTAAGGGTTTCTAAGATGTCTGCCTGTATTTCTGTTACATTGCTCCCTTTTATTTCGTTATCGAGGATTTCATTTGAACTATTACCGTCTGTATTAGTTGTAGTCTCTAACGCTATTAAATCTTCTGTGCTGGTCGTTATGTCTTTAAAGTTTGTATTGATGTTTGAAGAATTCGTTGAATGTTCAATTTCGGTGGTCGTTTCTATATTTGTTAATTCAGTAAGAATATTTTGGCTATCTGGAATGGTGGTCGATAATTGTTCAGGCAGGATCATTGTGGTTGTTTCAGCATTTAGACCTTCGATTTTCAGATCGTCTGTAATTGTAGAATCATCCTCTATTTTACTGATTATATCAGGATATGTTTTATCGGTTACTGTATTTATAGTTTCTGTTGTTATATTTTGTATGTTTTCTGTTCTATTTTGTATATTTTCTGCTGTCGCATTTTGTATATTATCTGTTGCAATTTGTATAATTTCTGTTGTATTTTGTATATTTTCTGTTACATTTTGCATATTATCCGTTGTATTTTGTATATTTTCTGTTGTTGTATTTTGTGTATTTTCTGTTACATTTTGAATAATATTATCCGTTGTATTTTGTATATTTTTTGTTACATTTTGCATAATATTATCCGTTGTATTTTGTATATTTTCCGTTGTTGTATTTTGTATATTTTCTGTTATATTTTGCATAATATTATCAGTTGTATTTTGTATATTTTCTTCCAAAATTATCATTCCTTGTTGTAAACTGTTTGTATCATTTTGTATCTTTTCTGTTATATGAATCATTTCAGTTGTATTTTGTATAGTCTCTGTTACATCTTTTATGTTTTCTATAGAATTGTTTTCATTATCTAAACTGTTGGTGATGTCCACAATGTTTTCTGTAGTACCATCATTATCATTTTCGTTGGTGGTAGATAAAATTTCAGTAATATGAGTGTCGTTAAAGTTATTAAATAACTGAGTGTTGTTTAAAGGTGTTACTTCGTTTTTGTTCAATGCGATATCTGAAAATAAAAATATATTTTTTATTAAATTTATTTATGTATTATTTACCGTAAATAATTTCTAAATAGCACAATTACCTAACATAAGCAACTGTAATGAGATAGTTAAGAAAATATAAAATATAAAAAAAAGGAAAACAACTACAAGACCACCGGACAATATGGAGTAAGACATTCAGAAAGTGCAAGTCTCTTTTTAGCGTTAAAATATTACAATTAAATATATTAGAGTCCGAGTATAGTAAGTGTGTGCAACAAGTGTGGATATGGACAGTCCACTTGAGTTGTACAGTATATGTTTTCTACGACCCACTAACAAAAATCTACAAATTTAAAAAAATATTTTAGGTTAAGACAAAATAACTAATTTTAAAATAATTTATGAAATTTACTATTTTATAAAATAAAATACACATAAAAAATTAGTCCCTAGTTCAGATTCGAACCCAGGCTATTTGTGTGGAAGGCATATGCTCTGTCCTCAGAACCACCACCACTTTTAGGATTTTTCTTTTAATACTTTTTTAAAATATGGACTAAATAAAAATTAAATGCTATTATTTATCGATTCTACACAAAAATAACTCATTTTAATGTTTGTTTAATCCCAATACTAAAAATATACTGACGATTAATTTAACAGAATTGTCAATTATTTATATTTTAAAAATAATAGTAGTTGATTGTCCAAAATATGAACTGTGATTGGTGGATTTCATTTTTTGCAGTGTTCTCTCTACCTAGAATGGATATGAAATATATTCGTTCAGTTGAATACTGTCTTTTCACGTTTATATAATTAAACCCCATCAAGTAGGAACCCACGTTTGATTAATTAATTTTCTCCTTCATTTCAGACTCTTAGCAGGCTATTGTAAACTTGTCATGATTGCTTCTGTCATTCACACATTGTATGTATCTTTATGATGCCAAGCATTCTGAAAACTTTGCGTACTATTGAATCTATGAAAGTATATTACATAGTATTACTGTGACAGTTAAGAGTATAATTATAGGATGTTATAAAATGTATAATTGTGTAATTAGAATCGGAAGAAAGCAGGACGTAACATCATTATAAATAAGGAAAACGATAGGGCCAATATGTGAACCTTGAGGAACACCGGACAGGACTAAAACGTCACATGATATAGAATCATTATCTATGATACGTTGACACCGATTATTCAAACACGATTTAATCCAGTAAAGATAAGAACCGAAGATACCGATTTCGGAGAGTTTAATAAGCAGCAATTCAAAACAGACGCTGTCAAATACTTCTGACAGATCGGTGTAAATGGTTTGAACCTGGTAACCATTTTAAATTGATAAAATTAGAGTCTTGATAGATTGCCAGATTCGTTGCTATCAAGCGTTTTTGATAAAAGCCATGTTCTTGAGGTAATATGTACTTTTTATAAGTGTACAAAATTTCTTCTGATAGTATGGATTCTCGGGGAAAGCTGGGAATACAATAGTCCCAAGAGACCGCAGTGTCCTGTGCTAAATCTAAACCTAAACCCTGTTGTTGAGGTGATATATAGTTTGTATAAGTGTACAACATTTCTTCTGATAGTATGGATTCTCGGGGAAAGCTGGGCATATAATAGTCCCAAGAGACCGTAGTGTCCTGGGCTAAATCTAACCCTACTTGTTTATAACCGATAAATATAAAGGTAGATCCAAAGAGTTCTGGAATTATGGATAAAATGGAAATACGTCTATAATTCTTTATGTCGCTTTTATCATTTTTCTTATCAACTAGCGTACTCACATAATACATTAAATTATTAAAAGTACTCACCTTCAGTCGTGATTTCTAAAGTAGTACTCTCTTCAGTCGTAGTAGGTGATTCAGTCTTTACGTTATCATCCTTATCATCGATAATGATAACAACTTCTGGTTTGACGTCGAAATGTTCCATCGAATCCGAAGTGAAATTATCGAACGGATTGGTCCTGTTGATTTGATCGAACTCCAAAGATGGCGGTTTGGTTACCGGAACCGGGACCGGTACGCTCGTGTTTTCGTGAATTTCGAAATTATGGTCCGTGAGATGTTCCTCGGAATGTAAAGAGTTCACGAAAGTATCGTTGTCTATGTCGGGTAGGAACGGAGACATGTGCTCGTCGTGGACCATGGGTTCAGATTCCATTGATGTTTCCATCTGCATTTGGGTTTTTTCTGTGTGGTAATGCAATTCTATAAATTCATTAGATATTTTTAAATTGTTCGAAAACTGATAAGAATTCTATAAAAACACCTGTTACATAATTTTGGGAAAAATGTATATACCCGGTCAAAATGTGACCATGGCCACGGTAATATCTCTTTCAATTATGAAACGATTTGGATCAAATTTTGGAAAAACCTACTAGACATCATTTTAAATTGACATTTTGGATCCGCTTGAAACCTTGTTAAAATCACTCTCCCTATTTTACTACTTTACATGTCCCCACTCTCCTTGGTAGAACAGAGGATACAAATTTAAAAAGGCTGTAATTTTTATGCGAACCAAATTATATTCGGTACTTGATACAGTAGAACCTGACAATTAAACATGTTCACCCCCCTGACTCCTCTTTCTGTCTGTAGTAAAAAACACAAAGTAAAAAATTAAGCTAGTACAATGTAAAGGTTTAGTATTTTATACCAACTTCCCATTGCTCAGGTACATTCTGTTCGCTATACTTACGCGGGTTTCGGATTAACAAAATTATGCAAATTAGTCATTGACAACCAGTTCCAATAAGCCTCTTCCCAAGAAATTAGGTAAAATTGCCCTAATCGTCAGATTTAAATTAAAATAACATTAGGGTAGGTCTTTGTAAGTGTTGACATTGTATGTATATTGTAAATTTAGTGGAAATTTTAAAAATGTCTAGACGTGTGTTAGATGTAGATAGTGTAATTTGTAGTATACATAAGTATTTTACGGATGAAAAAGGAAATGGCGGTCCTTTAAAATTGGTAATGTCTGTACAACAACGCGTATGCGATGTTCTAGGAATTAATGAAACCAAATTAAGAGGAGTATTACAAAATCATAATAGTGAACTGCCGAAAGAAGATCATCGCAAAACTCGCCCATCATTGAAAACGAAAGAAATTCCAAATAGAAAGAAATTTGTAATTCGTGATACCATTTATCGAATGAGGGCTAACAAGGAACATATGATCTTAAATACAATTCTCTCGGAATTAATAAATAGAAAATTTAACGACATTGAAAGAACAAGTCTATGGCAAGTGATACATAGCTTGGGTTTCAAATTTCAAAAGGAGGATAACAGAAAGGCCCTTTGTGAAAGAAGTTTTGTCGTGCACAAGAGAATTAACTTTCTAAGAAAATATTCTAAATTTAAAGAAGAAGAATTCTTGGACTGTTGATAAAATTATAAAGAATGGTTGACAAAGAAACATATAAGTACCATTTCCTCAATATATATTAAAATCAGAATTATTACGCTTGGCAAATATACACGCAAAACCAAAAACCTTTGTTGTGGATCAGATTATTGAAAGTTACGGTCATCAAGTTTTACGTCTGCCACCATCATTGCCAGTTTAATCCCATCGAATATATATGGGGAATAGCAAAACAATATTATGACAACCATATTGGGCCTAATGGTTATAGTGACGAAGCAGTTTGGGAAACTTGGCGAAAAGCACTTTCAATTACAACTCCAGAAGTGTGGCGGAAATGTATATCCAAGTGCGAGAAACTAATAAAAGATTGGTGGACTCGTGAAAATAAAATAAACGAATTAAGTCCAATCATAATAACAATTAATGGTGGTGACAATAATGATGATGACGATTATGATATTTTGGACGATAATGACTGATTTTCATTTTTGTTGGCAAGTACAATTTTTTTATTTTTGATTTGAAATTCTCTATATGGAACAAATTTTTATGTTAGAAAATATTTTATTTGAGCTAAATAACCATCTTATTATACATAGACCATATTTTCTGTGTGAAGTGTAATATAAAATTATTATTAGGTTTATAATAGCCACATTAGACTCCATTAATGAAGAAGTTTAATTCTGCTTTCAATTATACAAAAGATTCTCAATTATTATTTAATAAAAAGTTGTACATTATTTTTCATTTCATTTAACCAGTTGATATTTCCCCAAAGAACAGGTCAAACTTTCGAGTACTTACCTGGAAATACTCATAAAATTTTTAATCCGAAACTCGCGTAAGTATAGCAAACAGGCTGTACCTAATATCTTCATGATTTTTACTTTGGAATGTTACATTTTATGGTTATGGTTTTATAGGGGACTAAACAAGTTGACGGTTACAAATGATCTGGCATCGACTGGATATTCTTAAACAAAATGGCAGATAGGATTAAGTTTGTTTTTTTAAATGGAAGAGGCTGTATATTTTATATTGTTTGGAATCTACAGATCAAATTTTCTTTTTTAACAAAGAAACATTTTTTTTTAATTTTCTTGAGCCAGAACTCTATGAACTGTTAACATACTGCTACAATAGCCTCCACGCTAAATTCATTTAAAAAATCAAACTAATGGCATGTTCGGTAAAACCGGAAGTCGGCTATCTTGTTTAAGTAGAAGTGTCAATTCAAAATCATGTCTAGTATGGTCCAAATTTGATCAAAATCTCTTAATAAATGTTTTTCGCAAAACGTATACAACAAGTGTTGAAGAAATGTGTGTTAATGATGAAAGAAGCATATAAAAGACAGATGTGTGATAAGTATGGTAATGAAAATGGCTTGACAAATTTTCTGTAGAACACCAAAATTTCTTTTATATTCAGACATTTATTCAAGAGAGAAAAAGAAGTAGAGAAAGGGTACAATCCTGTGCCCTTATGAATCCGTCTTTAATTGTGTAAATTGTAATAACAAATCTAGCTGAAAATTCAGAAACAACTCTCCAAAATCCCCCTACAAATTATTAAGACCATCCCCAAACCCCAAAGGTGAAAACACATACTTTGACAGCATTGAGCTTCGAACCCAGACATCTCTGTTCTGTACATAAATGCCCTACCTCTAGACCATCGCGATATTGACTATCTATCTTAATTAGGGTGTAATTCAAAACCCACTTGCACTAAAGATCTAGTCTTAATGAATCAATTAATATGAAGTGTCAATGAAATGATATGGTACAAAAACTCTAAAAATACCAGTAAAGAAAGCTGGAAAATTATCAATGAAACAAGAAATAATACTAATAATAATAGAAACCATACTCCAAAAATTTTAATTGATAAAAAAGTTGTCACTGACAAAAATATATTATGTAATAACTTAAATGATTTTTTCTGGATAATAAAGCAAAGAAACCAGTCACACATGTGTCGAATCTACATCCTCATTCAATTTTCACTTTCTTTCTAATTCCAACCACACCTTATGAGATAGAGGAAATCATATCTAAAATAACTAAAAAAACAACACCAGGGAGTTCATGGGAAAGCTCTAAAAGCAGTAAATGACATTACTTTCACATCACTTTCACACATAATTAATGTCTTTTTGTATGGGCATCTATCCAAGTGTACTGAAAATATCAAAGTCAATACCCATATTTAAGAATAAAGGGTCCGTAAACGAGGTTAGCAACTACAGAAATATTAACCTGCAGTCGCAATGTGCTAAAATCATTGACTATAGCTACAATATGAGATTAACCAACTTTTTAGAACAGAAGGGACTAATACTCAACTGGCAACATGGCTTTAGACAAAAAAGGTCAACAGAAACTGCAATAAGTGAACTCTGCAATAATTTCTATAATCACCTAAATGATAAAAAATAACCACTACCTCTTTATTTCGATCTTAGTAGAGCATTTGACACTGTAGATCATAATCTTAGAAAACCTGTATCGCATATGCGTTCGAGGTGTCACAAATGACTGGGCTACATCCTATCTGCAGGGAAGATCCCATATTGTAGCTATAGAAGATGCTAAATCCGCTCCCGGGCTAATAACAGAAGGAGTTCCCCAGGGCTCAGTTTTAGTCCCATTATTTTTCATCTTGTTTATGAGCGACTTAGAATACTCATGTCCAACACCTAGAGTAACTGCCGTTGGTTATGCTGATGACACTAATTAACTTGTTGCTGAAAACAATCTGTCTGATACAGTTTCTACCTCAAATATTAGCGCAAATGAATTCCAACATTGGTGCTCAAATAATGGTATTGCTTAATTCTAATAAAACAGTATTTATGCTTTTCCAACCAAAAAATTCAAGCCTTGACGAAAGTCAATTAATAAAAATTGAACATAAATCTCTACACCAGGTAAGGGAGGTTAAGTTTTTAGGTCTAACAATCGATCACAAGCTCACATGGGAAAGCCACATAGATAATCTTGCATCTAAGCTATGTAGCATTTGCTTTGTCATCAGACAACTTAAACCAACTGTACCTTTGGATGTAACCTACTACGGACTAGTGTATTCGGTACTTTCATATTGCTTGATTTTCTGGGGAAATTCGGCCCATATGAATAAAGTCTTTTTCTTGCAAAAAATAATTATTAGATGCATGATAGAACCCTATTCTTCGAAACATTGTCAGTCTCATTATCTATATGATAAACCAACCGATCCCAATCACACATATAGCCATTGTCATAGGCTTTCGAGGTATCCCTAAATCATATGACCCACCTTATATTATAAAAAGTTGGAAATAGCAAAAATTAATGATATTATTTGGGAACACAACCTGCCCTACAGGTCCCACGCGTCAATACAATATTCCCATTTGGATCCAACTTTATGGCGCACACTGTATTTTGACCCCGTAAGTTTTGGTGTAGTGGTGTAACAACTACTTTTACAGGTAGTTTAATGAGATAGTAAGAAGCAAGTACCTTGAATTTTCGGTTCCCTATATAAATTGTTAGTGCTAGCCGTGATACGTGGGGATTTATGAATCTGAACTTTAATATAGGATCCATCATAACCTGGTTTTGGTGTTGGACGAGCCGTATAAACGTCAGATAGTTGCGTGGTTGAAACGGGAGCTGGCGTAAACACCTCTGCTATCGGAGTAAATACTCTTCCCAAGCCATATTCGTTATTTGGTTTCGTCGTTCTCTCCTTGTCGGCGTTCAACTGTTCGTATCTGTTTAACTGTTCTCTCAGAACGTCGTAATAGAAATCTTGTTTCGTTATTTCCGGGGATTTATCCTCTCTTGCGTCATTATTGTGAACGATTTCTGACGAATCTGTTGTTGGATCTAGTAACGTGCCAGAAATCATTTCTAGAACTTAAGAAAAAAACTAAATTGCAGCTAAATTATTGCATTTTTAGTTTCAACATACTTGCAAAATTGAAATTAATTCGAATATTATAACTGTAATGATGGTAGAAGAAATAATGCCTCATCATTTGAACTCACTTGAGTTAGACATGGAAATTTTTTTTTGTAGATAAAAAGGCATATATACTCCATTAAAAACCGTTGAACCCAATTTTTTTTTAAATCTTATTTTGCCAAAAAAATTGTTCATTGAAACCATAGTGCCTTGGGTGAGTCCTCGCCTCATTTGGAAAACGTTAAAACTATTCCGCATATTAGAGCAGCGATTTCGTGAGTCTATCGTGTCGTTTTTTTTCTGGCGTAGAAGTTTATTGTAATTTTTTTAGGTTTCTTTTTCCAAAATTTAGGAATTCAACAAGTGACCACCTGAATAACATTTTATGCTAATGAAGATTTTTATTACAGACCTCAGGGGAGGAAAATATTAAATAAAAATGCAATTTCAGTAAATTTCGACAAGAGAGGTATAATAATCCTGTTACTACTTCTTCACCATATTAATCTGCTACTAAAATACTAAAACAGCAAGGGAAGCAGAGAAGGGAAGTTTCTTTCAAAAAGAATGTTTAAGGAAAAAGGCAAAGCCATTCTTTGATAGAATAAATTTTGTGTATTGTTTAAATTTTCATATTTTGTATTTAATTTAAGATTAAACAAAATGAACCTCAAAGATATGCATGGAATATCCCAAAAGAGCTAAGGAAGGTTTTAAAATTCTTAAGAAAACTATTCAGAGCCAAAAACATAAAATAGTTAGTCTTCGTGCCCAGAATATAAATATTTAGGTATAAATATTTGGATATTATGAGTGATTTTTATTCTATAAATAGAACGTAATTTACTTCTAAATCACTTCCTAATTATATATTATGTAGTAACCAACTAAACAAGAATATCACATTATTTATGTTATTTTTTTAATTTACTAAAAAACGTCCCAAAAAAATGTCTGGTGCTATAGTCAGGTATAAAAACATTCATTTAAATGAGCACAGTTGCAATATACATTTTATTTAGTTTTTAAGTTAATACCTACTAGGACATCCTAAAATGACTTTTTCCGTTTGATGTGAGATTCATTATTCTATATTTTTGTTGGTAAAATTAGTATATTACATTACGAGTGTGGAAAGTGACATTTTTCACACGAATGGGAAATATTGTCGCACGAGCAGGCGCAAGCCGAGTGCGACTATCACACGAGTGTGGAAAATCACTTTTCACACAAGTGATGTACAATGTTTTTCCTACGACCACAAAATAATGTCATCAAAAAAATGTAAAACCAAGGTTATTATTACTATAATAATTAAAATGTATTTAAAAAAATAATCAACAATAATCGTATTTATTAAATTTTCATATTTTCTAAACAAAAAAAACTAAAAACAAAAATAAAAAAAAAATAAAAAAAAACAAAAAATAAAGAGCAAACATTATTTTAAAATTATTTTAATAATAATTGTTAAAGATAAATATCTAGAATCTAATTTACAACAATTTCAATAATTTAACAATCATATCGATTTTAATATTAATATGAACATTACATAGATCAAAATAGAAATTAGGTGTTTGACATTTTGTGACAACTACTGCGGACAGTAACATATTCTCACTCGGGTGGAAAGTAAATTCTTATTCATACGCGTGTAATATAGGGCACTTTCCATAGGACTATATAGTGTGATATGTGTCACTTTCTCAAGTGGTCGTAGGAAATAGAATATTTTAAGATGTCTTACTGTTTTCTCTAATTATCTAAAACGTTCAGAACAATACAAAGACTGTTTTAACAAAAAGAGATATATACCTTTAATAACACACAACCAGTCAATTCAGTTATACGATAATTTAAAGCAGAAAACCAGAAAACTTCTAAAAATGTGTTTTTACTATAACAAGGACATAATTATTATATAAAAGTCGGCAGGTTTTTATAATATATATTATACAAATCACAACGAACTACACAAAATGACATTATTATTAATTTAGCAATAAAAAAGTTAAGTACAATTATGACATTAAAAGTTGATTTTCTCGAAATTACTTTTTTTTAAATTGTCTCAGTACCTACCTACTATTTCTCTAGCACAATGATATTATATGAATATGCATTGTGTGATATCTTATATTTTAGGAATAAAATAATATTTTTTTTTCAGTTTCTGTTAACAACGATTCCACGAACTTTTGAAAATATTAATGAAACAGCCTGTGCAAATATAATTCTCAATTAAGAGCTATTAATCTATTTTTTATTCTCCAAAAGGTTACAGCTACCTAAGAAGAAAGTTTAACAAGACTCTTACCACTCTTACCAGACCCAAAATATCAAATGTTACCAACCAATTGATGGTTCTTCTAGTTTTCATAGTAAAATTCTCCTCGAAACTAGTAAAAGAAAAGTGGTAAAGGCAACCGAAGAAGGCAAAGAAGTCTTTGCAAAAAAAAACAAGAAATTTGTTTAAGCATCTAATTATTGTTTAAAGTTTTACCATTAACTATTTTTGATAACGTTTTAAGATTATGAAGTTCTATTATGTATTTTCCTCTTTGATAACCTATGTTTAAATTTTTATTAGGACCAAAACAAATTATAATTTTCATTTCAACTACAAAAACCCTCATAATATTAAAAAGGGGGAAAACGTCAGGTTAGTTATGTTCAAAAATCAATTTTTTAAACATTTATCTACTTAAAATGTGTTACTTTTAGAAGGTATGTTATTAACTTTCTATTTGTACTTGTATTAATTTATTTCATTTTATCTATGTTTGTTGTATTTTCAAATTGATTTCGATATTAATCTTATCTATTTCTATTTTTTTTTATATTCACATATATATTTTTTTCATTGAAATATATGTTTATTAGCTTATTAAATATAATGAATTCATGTTGTTTTATTATATGCTTGCATGAATGATTACTTTTATTTCCTTTTGAAAATGAATTTCGAAGATAAAGTCGAAACGGTAAGTGAAAATAAAAAATTAGAAGAAAGTGACGATATTTACTGGAGCGTTTATCTACACGCTCCTTTTTCTAGCCATCTACACCTAAGCCATCAAGATTCGTCTTCCCTCTATCCTTACATTCTCCAGATTTACAGAGAAAACGCCGTCCTCTTTCACATATCCGGACCTTCTTTGACGGGGAATATACCACTACTTTACATTATCAGCCTTATTTGTTATCCCGAGCAATTTAAATGCATTCAATTTTTTTTTGGGATTTAAGTGTTCAAAGCGCTACTGTGTCTACTTTAATATGCGATTATTTTCAGAGATATAGGGGTGTAGACGTTAAAAACATGTTTTATAAAAAAATCGATTTTCTTTAAGTTTTCTCGACCACCAAAAAATGTCAAAAATGATTTTGTGTACACCATTACCTTATTAAAGAATTGCACTAAGTCTGGTTTGGTTCTACGCCGTTTTTTTCTCAAAAACTAAGCGGCTTTACTTCCAAGTTTTACTCCGCTATATTATTCATCTGGTTTAATGTGCCCGTAGATTTACAACTTTTTGTAAAAACTGCATGAATATTGAAAATGTTATGATCCTTTTGTACCGGATAGCACAAGTAGAAGTTGGAAAGGCTTTTGCCAGTTCTCCCACTTTATACACATAAATTGACAGGTTTTCGGCCGATCTAACAGAAGTGGACGCGATACATTGGCGTACAAAATAAATAGTTTAATAAATTGTGAATAGCTGTTGAAATTTTGTAAAATTATGATTTGAATATTATAATACATGTTTAATAATTATTTATAGTCCACAAATACATGCGATTGTACTGTTCCGCCGGTAAAAATTTAAAATTACTTATTCTATGAAACGACACTGGTAGGTAAACATTATTCCAAAATTCTCGAAGCCGTCCGACGTGGTTTGACATTTACCCCCTCTCTACTTACCAAAAGCCTGTCCAACTTCTACTTGTGCTATAATAACAAAACGTTATGGTATAATTCTTCTTCTATGTGTTTTTTGAGTTTAGATGTTGACATTAAATCGAAATTTTGGTGGAAATTTGGTTTAAATTTGATCAAAGCTTCATTACCTTTTTAAACAAATTTTTGGAAAAAAAACTAAAATATTTAAAATTATTATTTTCCATAAATATCTTTGTAAAAACCTACTATCGTATAGGATTACAGTAATTATTTCTGGGTTGTTGCTTATACCTTCACATTAAATTTTTGTTTAGATGTGGTAAATTTTTAAAAATCAAAAGTTATTTCTACAACTACAGATATAGATCAAATTAAAAATGTTTACCTTTATCTTGATCATCTTCCGCACTAGACTCAGATTCAGAATTAACAGGATTCATCATCGTAAAGCTTTCGTCATTTAATATCGCTGGTTGACTTAAGATTTGTTTAAAAGATCTTTCTTCCGAAGAGGACGGAGGTCGTTGGAATATTTCAGGTTCCGTAGATGGCTCAGGTTCTGGTTCTGGTACCGGAGTAGGTTCAGTGTGATTTTGGAGGACTTCCGATAAATTATTTAAAGGCACAGTGGTCGATTCGGGTGTTTCTTGTGTATATTCCGAATACTTGTCAGATTCGCCGTGTTGATAGAAATTTCTGTATTCGGGAATTGCTGCTTTATCGCTAAAATAAGATATTTATCTATGTACAGCGCGATTCATTAAATCACGAAATTTGGTTTTAGTGGCGTGATAAAAATAAAAAAAAAAACAAATTTTGTTCTCGTTTAAAAATTTTAACCTTTTCTAAAAATCTTTATTTTACGTATAGAATTCAAAATGGTATTCACAATAATTTTTAAAAAAAATCGATAAACGATTATTTTCGATTATTCGATGATTTTCAATTATTTTCAATTATTTTCGATTATTTTCGATTATTTTCGATTATTTTCGATTATTTTCGATTATTTTCGATTATTTTCGATTATTTTCGATTATTTTCGATTATTTTTGATTATTTTCGGTTATTTTTGATTATTTTCAATTATGTTTGATTATTTTTGAATATTTTTGAATATTTTTGAATATTTTTGAATATTTTTGAATATTTTTGAATATTTTTGAATATTTTTGAATATTTTTGAATATTTTTGAATATTTTTGAATATTTTTGAATATTTTTGAATATTTTTGAATATTTTTGAATATTTTTGAATATTTTTGAATATTTTTGAATATTTTTGAATATTTTTGAATATTTTTGAATATTTTTGAATATTTTTGAATATTTTTGAATATTTTTGAATATTTTTGAATATTTTTGAATATTTTTGAATATTTTTGAATATTTTTGAATATTTTTGAATATTTTTGAATATTTTTGAATATTTTTGAATATTTTTGAATATTTTTGAATATTTTTGAATATTTTTGAATATTTTTGAATATTTTTGAATATTTTTGATTTTAAATATTTTTGATTATTTTTGATTATTTTTGATTATTTTTGATTATTTTTGATTATTTTTGATTATTTTTGATTATTTTTGATTATTTTTGATTATTTTTGATTATTTTTGATTATTTTTGATTATTTTTGATTATTTTTGATTATTTTTGATTATTTTTGATTATTTTTGATTATTTTTGATTATTTTTGATTATTTTTGATTATTTTTGATTATTTTTGATTATTTTTGATTATTTTTGATTATTTTTGATTATTTTTGATTATTTTTGATTATTTTTGATTATTTTTGATTATTTTTGATTATTTTTGATTATTTTTGATTATTTTTGATTATTTTTGATTATTTTTGATTATTTTTGATTATTTTTGATTATTTTTGATTATTTTTGATTATTTTTGATTATTTTTGATTATTTTTGATTATTTTTGATTATTTTTGATTATTTTTGATTATTTTTGATTAGTTTTGATTATTTTTGATTATTTTAGATTATTTTCGATTATTTTTTCATTATTTTTGATTATTTTCGATAATTTCGATATTTTTGATTATTTTCTATTAAGAGATTATTTTTGATTAGTTAATTATTTTTGATTATTCGAATATTCCATTATTTCGTTTCACCGAATATTTGAATTACTTAATCATTTCGATTAATCAATTATTTCGATTAATGAATTGTTTCGATTAAAAAAATATTTCGATTAATCGATTATTTCGTTTAATCGATTATTTCTATTAATCGATTATTTCGAAAAATAAATTATTTTAAATAATCGATTATTTATTTTGATAATGTCCCAGCCTTATACTTGACACAGGAAAGGAATATACACTTTCTATAATAAAAATTATTTACCCAGGATTCATCCACTGCTCCTGCAATTTTTCAACAGCGTCATTTAATTCGCAATGTTTCTGATCTCGCATCAACTTTTTATTATCTGGACACGTACAAGTGAAATTCAAATGGTTGTAATCGAAAAAGCACAAATGTTCGCATCCGTTGTTGGTTTCCAAGCAAGCATCAGGTATTTTGCGGAAAGCCATTTTGTTTTGATCGATGTGGTAGTTTCCGAGCAGACCTGTATTTGTTCGTAAAAATTCCTTTATTTTCTCTTGGATCAACGTTTCGTTTATGCCGGACAATGGGGCGTTACTGTCACGGTTCCAGCTGATCCTGGTTCTCACTATTACACTACCGGGCCTGGAATAATAAAAAAAGAGTTATGTAGATTCGTTCTCCCCCCCACTTTATAAAGATCAAAAAGAAGAATATATTGAAATATTTCATTTCTTTAATAGTTTTTTTGGTATGGTCATTTGTAAAACATTCACAATGGAAAGCCATTTAGCAATTGAAAAGGCCTACTGTGCACAATGCTCCGATCAGAAATACAGCTGAGCTAGAAATAACATACAAAGGTTTACAGGTTCGCAGAGCCCCTACAAAATACCTTCCAACCAAATTAAGGAGAAGAATTATTAAACTAGAATCTTCTAGGCAGAGGAGTTAACTCAATCATCAGACCAATTTCTTCAAAGAAAGTTGTAAAGGATATAAAAACAAATATTGATCCTAAGAAATACCCTGACTTTGATTTAGTTGTAGAAGAAGTTTAAAACAATTTCTAAAAATGCCATAATAAAAATTACACACCTGTTTAATACCTTATTCAAACTAAGGTATGTCCCTTGGTTGTGGAACGTAGCCGATGTCATTATGATATACCAGAAAAACTCCAAACGAAGTTTCATTATACAGGTCAATACCTCTATTGCCTATATTATCAATGAAAAGGCTAAAAGCCATAATTTAAGAAACGAAACTAATTCTAGATTATCAGTTTGACTTTAAAGAATTATTACCATTACCATTTAGCTATAGAGTAATTTCATATAATCTCAAAAATATGACTGAAAAAGTTAAAAGAAAAAGAAGTCTGCTTAGCCATCTTCCTTGGTGTTGCGCAGGCTTTTGATAAAGTATCTGATGGCTTAAAACATAAACTAAATACTCAGAGCTATTAGATTCTTCAGAAAAGAATAGTGCGGGATAATGAAAATTACGACAGGCTCCTGTACCAGATCACGCAATCTCCAAAGAGGAGCCTGTGAAAGACTGCTGGTAAAATAAACCTAAATATGCTTAATTTCTGAAGGTTCAGACATTTCATAAGATAAATATTGCGGCTATATGTAGAATATTGCACCCATGTTCTAGTCACTCAATATAAGAACGAGTTTTTACCAACCGTATGGGTTTCTGATGAATCAAAAGTCTCATTATATCAAAGAACGTCACCAGATAGTCATACAGATTTCTTGGATTCGAAAAACCACAAGAAATTCTAGAGGCACCTCTTCACGATGAACGAGTAACTATTTGGTGTGCAGTTTCTGAGCACGGAATTTTGGGCCATCACTTTTTTGAAGATGAAGAAAGTAACAATATAATATAATCAAAAATATACAAGCAACATATTGAGTTATTTGTTAAAGACCTAAAACTCTTCTGTAGAGCTAGGAACTGCCTTATCGAAGACAGTGGTTTCAGCAAGACGGGCCAACTAGTCATACCATTACCGCCAGTCTTCCGATCACATTTCGGTAACAGGATAATATCCGTTTATCCACCACATAGCCCTGACTTGACCCACCCTGATTTTTACATCAGGGAATGATGAAAAATAGCATTTTAAGCGAAAATGCTCCAAAAACAGTTGCAGGATTAAAAACAGCAATAGAAAACATAGTATCCAATCTTCAGCAACGCTTAGAATTATGCTTGGAACAAGATGATGGTTATTCTTAAATATTTAATATTACCTATGTATACACAATTATTATAGTTTGATAATTTAATAAGTAATGAATTTTTTTAGTATAAGTTGCTAAAATAAAGAAACTAGTTTACTTACGAAAATTCAAACACTCTTATTTGAATATCAGACGATTTATCATCCAAAGGCGCTATTTGATCCAGAACATTTTCTTTCAGCAATTGCTCCACTGAAGATGACAGCGCTTTATACTCGGAACTCTCAGGATCAGATAGATCAATTTTGTAATCCATGTTGTCAATCGTTAAATCTAAATCCAATACATTCGGAACTAAAAATAAAATGCGCATTGAAAATAAATACATATAAAATAAAGAAAGATTATCAATTTTGTAAATGTGGTTAAATTGTTTCACAGAATAAAATAAAATCACAAAATCTGTACCACATAGACCAATGGTTCCCAACCAGTGGTCCGTGGACCACCAGTGGTCCGAAGATATTGGCTTGAATTTCACGATTGTATAAGTGCATTTGGGGTCGGAAAATATGTCTGTTAAAGAAAATCGAATTTTCCATGTGTTATCCCCAAGAACCACTCCTAAATTTTCTTTTATTCTACTCAACATCGAAGAACTTTTAAATCCTCTTCGAAGCTTGTATGTATCTGTCACTATCTGACGGTCTATATTTTATTGCTATTTTAGTTGTTACCAATTTGAAATACCCCAGACTTCTGTTTCTGTATTTTTATGTTTGTGGGAGCTAAAAAAGAGGTCTTCATCCCTCCAAAGTTCGTGTTCAAGGTCCAGCATTGGGTTAAAATACATATGGTCATCTTAATATTCACCTTACCTGCTTGAAACGGTATTATTTATTAAGCAAAAATATTTTTACTATTATCAAAAATTTCCCATGACATATTTTTTTTCTACTCTCATTTTATATTGTAAGTACTTATTAAATGCTTACATAAAATCTGTATCGTAATATTCATTACGATACAGATCATTTTTGTTCTAATACAGATTATTTCAATTACGATTCAAATTACCTTTTCATTAAAATCCAGATTAGGTAAGAAATTACATATGAATGAGCAATGTATGTAACTATACAGAGCATTGGTGTGATTGTGTGTTCTGAATTATCGACTGTCAGCGTCCGTCTGATACAGAACCGCCATCTTAATTTCATACGTTTTGAGGAACACTTTTTGTATACAAAGATAGTTCTTGTTACGTGAAATTAATTTTAAATTAATTTCAAATTTATTTTTAACAACAACTTCTCCATAACCCCTCGTAACACAATTTAAACGATAACTGTTCGCTTTTATTTGCAAAGTACGGTTTGCGCTCTTGCCTAACGTGTCTAGCGTTTTTTTCGGCATCCACGCTGAGATAAAACCGACTGGTGTTGATTTAACCGGCCTTTTGGTTTATCGAATTCAAAAACTTCAATGTGGTAGTGTGTGCCGACAAATAATCTACTATGAGTAGATTTCCATAATTATCTTGTTTTTTATATGTGCTTATTGTGTGTTAACGTTAGGATAATTGTCAGGTAATGTTTCTTTCAACTTCTATTTTAACACTTTGCTGGATTTATTTGGAAAGCCGATAGATCGGCTATTTGCTTTTTTTATTACCATCATGCTGACGAGTGCCGGTTATTATTATTGTTTTATTTTATTTAATATAGATTATAGCTACCCTAACTAATAATATGTTTAAGCTTTCTTTGACATATACGCGGGGAGGCAATTAAATAATTAAATTACAAGTCAGTCTGGAAATATAGTTTAAATGGAAATCTATGACTCTTAACTTATTTTGGTCTTATAAATATTTTATATTCTGTTCAGATGATGTAACTTTAATATTTGCCCCGTTTATGCATAAGTCCGTTAGATTTCCAAACTGGCATGAATATGTACTTTTCCTGTTACTGAGGTTCTTTTTATTTCTAAATCTGCAGTGGCTGCAAGCTTTAAGCTCCAAGTCCAACTCCAAGTCCGAGTTACGTAGTTTCTCCTCCAAGTTCGAGTTACCTAGTTTCTCCAAGAAGTTCCGAGTTACGTAGTTTCTCCAAGTTTCGAGTTCCAAGTGCGAGCACCAAGTCTAATAATAATAATAATAATACTCTCCAAGTTTCTAAGTAATGTCGAAATAGCTTCAAATAACTCCGAAGCAGCTCCATGTAGAACCAAGTCTGTACATATCTCCAAGTCTCGACATACGACAGGGAAGTACCGCTATAGAATGCCACATGGTTGAGACAATTAAATATCTATTATATTAAGTATCTATTCAACTTCATTCAATTAATTTTTTTAACAGTAAATTTTAATCCATCTTTCACATTTAATTATTAATTTATTGTATAAATTCATTCGTTTTACTTTTTTTATTAAATGTATTAAATTTTCTCACTTTCTTTTATTTGCCAGAGCTCATAACAGATAACTTTAAGAACCAGAGACTGACTTAATTAAACAGCGCATACAAAATCAGATAAGTTTTCCAAGTTACTCAAAAAATTGGTGGCGTATCGTAAAGTAGACTTTGACCCGCGGACAGGTAAAGCTACTCTGATTTTATTTGTCTTCGTCAATTTATGAATCCACGCAGTACCAGCAATTTGAGCTAAATTACCTTTTAAGTACAATTTACATCGTAGAAATCAAAAAGAAGGTAACATTTTCCTTACCTATATAGTCCACAGTAGCGGCAAAACATTAACAGTTGACATATGAGGTATGACATTATTTCCATTCTGCTGTATTATGAGTTTATTGGTAATTGACCACAAAGTTCCCATTTTTAAAGTGAAAGTTCACCAGGCATTTGCCTTTTTGTTTGTGGTAGTATTAAATCACCACTCCAAGTTAGTGCGAATAGCTCTACATTTTACGTCGACCTGTGCCTTGATCTTCTTGAATTGGACTGTGCGCTGGATGCCATTCATCAAAGATAATTGAACACTCTCCTAATGAGCATTGAATTGTGTGAGGTTTTCACCATCAGTCTTAGTATTTTTAAGCACTCAGTTCCATATAATTGCTCTCATTTCTCTCACATACCAAGTCCAGCCCTAGTCCAACCAACCTATTTAGGAGCCTTCGTTTTCATAAAGGATACTCCCACAACTGGTTAGATTATATTTAGACAGATGATAATTTTGGTCGAGGATTTAAATTGATTCTTTGATGAAGTCATCATCGTTTGGTACCTTTTAATTAATAATGTCTCCATACATATATTATATGGTTCATCTTTTATACTTAATTTTTTAACCTAACTTTTGGGATACCTCTATTAAATTTTATTATTTTTTTGTAACGTCTAAATACCAACACCTCTACTCTGGAATAAATGGTTCGTCGCATACCGTCTGTTGAAGAAAGCTTCAACAAATATTTAAAATAAAACATATGGCTTAGAACGCCCCTGACATTTATAGAAATAACGCGAAAGCGTTGCGTCACTTTTCGTTACATACTACAAATTGTCAGTAGACGCTATCACGTGAAGAGTAGTTCGCAGATGGTTGGTTGATTCTACCACACGGAAGTCCACCTAGCGAGAGCGTGGCGTCATCCAACAGAATCAATTTCTCATCACATCGATAAACACCGTCAACAATGACTTAAAAAACCGGCATGTCTTCGCCATTATGTGGTTAATTTTTTTAGTTAATTTTATTAGAATAGGCATCAATAATGTAGTAAGTGCAGTGATGTTACAATTTTGATAAGCTATTCAAGATTAAAAATAATTTTGTGATGCCGGTTATTTTATTCTGTACACACCTAAAGAAAATCAGTGCAGTTTTATATGTTCATTAAAAAATGTAGGGAATAATACATATGGAAATTTCTTGAAACTAATTTTACAACCTTTTTTGTATACGTAAGTAACTATTTATTGTAATATCCTTTTTTTAACATATCAATTGTACTATTATGGTAAGGATGGCCGAAACTAATCTTAACTAAATTGCAATCAAATATATATGGTACATATTTTATGATTTTATTTCATTCCACCAAAAACATATACGTATATAAAAAATAACTGTAACTCACCAGTTGCTGTGTCTTCTTCCGCACCAACCGGCGAGATGGGCTCAACAAATCTAAGAGACGCTTCAGAGCTAGATACCTCACTAACAGATGAATCGGTGATCTCGCTAACAGATGAATTGGTGACCTCATTAACAGATGAATTAGTTGAAGGTGCATCACTAGACCCGATAATTGCAACAAACGGATCAGGTGTAACAGAAACGGGTGAACTACTAGACGGTAGATTTGTAGACGTTTCAGTGGATGATGGAGCAGATTCAACAGGCCACAAGGCCGGATGATGAGAAAACGGATGGTATAAATCATCTGGTTTATTAGTAGGTGGATCAGTAGGAGGATCAGTAATAGGATTAGAAGAAGGATCAGTAAGAGGATTAGAAGGAGGATCAGTAGAATGATTAGTAGGAAAATCAGTAGGGGGATCAGTAGGTGAATCAATAAACGTATCGACAGGTGGTTCGGATGATTGGGAAGACGAGGAAAATGTGGGTGCGTTGATACCGGCTTTGACAATATCGTTGTCGTTTTGGAAATTTCTACCAGTGACTTCGACAGGTTGTGGTAACTGTCCTTGGTTTCCTAAAGCTCCAACTGAAAATGGAATATGTTTTAATAAATGGGTTTAGCGAAATTCGATTTTGAATGCTAACCTGCCGCTAGTATTCCTAGTATAACTGCCGTGGCTACTATGCAAATGACGATTGTCCAACAGATACATTTGCTTTTTGTTTTTTCTGCTCTACTGTCTCTAGTGAGGTACAATTTCTCGCCTCTACGAAAAAAAGGTAGAATTTACGTACAGTCAAGAAGATAGTTTGAATATTTTCAGCAGTAAAAAGAACAGGGTGTTAGTAATGATGTTTGATATAGGAACATGAATCCTTAAAGGGCATAGTTACTGAGATACAGGGTGTTAATAGTTTGAAATCAAAAAGTCCTTTAAATACTTTTTCAAATTTGGCGACCTATATGCTCTTTAAAAAAGTAATATTTAAATTGCAGTTAATTACTTGACTAGTGTGCCGAAGGTATTAGGAAAACTATGACGATTGGTCGTTTGCCATCGAAAATGGTTTTGTTCTTGAAGGTTTATTCAAGTGCATTGCCGGCACCAAGGAATATGGTGTTCTAATAGCAAAGGCCAAAGCTAACTTGATTTTAACTCTCGATCTATATTTATTCGTGCACATAAAAGATGCAGAAACGGTTAAAGAAGTTTGGACGAAGTTAAAGAACCTTTATAATGACAGTGGTTTTTCGAGAAAGGCAGGGTTATATTATATGTAAATCAAGTCCTTAAAATCTCGTAAAACTGAGTAGAACGAGATTCAAGACCATCGAAGAATGGGTAGGTTTATTAATTTTGGCGGATTGCCAAAAAAGTTTTCACCCATGATAATGGCAGTTGAACATTCTGGAATTATCATAAATACAGATACCATCAAAACGAAGTTACTAGATGTGAATGTAGATGGAGCTACTGGTGATTCTTGAGGAGCATTCGCTGTCAAACGTACGCAGTACACAAAGAAGTATAAAAAGGGCAGCAGGAGTGCGTTTAGAAACCTTGCATAGCGCGTCTTGATCCTATTCTAATGTATGTGATCAAACTCGCCGTGCGAGGTTTCTAAACGCACTCCTATGGTATTGACAGAATGTCAAATGTCAAACTTCAATGATGTAAACAAAACCTGGACAGGGATTCTTATGTGTGAATTCAACACGTTACGTGTTGAATAGAGAGAGACATTACATACGAATTGCAATCTCTCGAACGAAGATAGATGCTTCTCAACACGTGCCGTATTAAAAGATGAGAATCTCACTGCAGAAGTGATAGAAGTAATTTACTTGTTTTAAATGCAAGCAGCCCTGCCATTTCAGCATAAAGTGTCTAAATAATAAACAAATTTATACTTAAATCATTAAACAGACAATATTTACCTACTAATATGATGCCAGGTTGCATTGATAAAAAGTTTAGCAACTAATAAATATTTTCATTTTTTATAATTGTTAGGTGTTACAGGTGTTGCTAATTGTTAAGCATATTTAATTTGTTAAGTTTTTGTAAGTGGGGATGTGAAAAGATATACCAAAACTGACTTCATGACAAAATAATGCAGGACAAATTGGCACAGACCAAAATAGCGCTAGGACAAAATAGCGCAAGACAAAATAGCGCAGGATAAAATGGCGCAAGGACGAAATAGCGCAAGGACACAATAGCACAGGCCAAAATAACACAGGCCAAAATATCGCAGGACATAAAAGCGCTTGTCAAAATATTGTAGTATTCTAGTAATTCTAATTCTGTCACATTTTAGGATCCGACCCATTTTAGCGCGAAACAATTTCCTGCGGAACAAATTTACTGCGACAAATTTGCGCCGAGCCAAATAAATTAGAGACAAATTAGCACCTGATATGAAAAAAGTAAGACCAATTAACGCCTAGTCTATTTATAGTTAGTTTCAAAAAAGAGCGAAAAAAATTAACGTGTGTCAAAATATGCCAGTATTCTAATTAAAATTAAAAAAAAAAAAAACTAATTTACCTAACCTATGCGGCCTGGAGCTGCATATGGGTACAGGCCGCTCAGGTTAGGAAAATTACTTACAATTTTTTTAATTTTCTAATTTTGTCATTTTTTTTTAGAATACTAGAATATTTTGACACGCGCTTTTATATCCTGTATCCTGCCCTGCGCTATTTTGTCCTGCGCTATTTTCTCCTGCACCATTTTCTCCTGCACCATTTTCTCCTGCGCTGTTTTGTCATGGAGCCACCATCGACCTTGATATTAAAATGGATGCACATACTTTGATTTTCTCTTACCATACGGAGAATGGTTGTACTGCGCAGCTTTCTGAGTGCCTTTTAAAAGGAGATAAAAAAGTCCGCCATTTTGATGCCTTACTACGTGTTGCCTACATCTTGTCGCAATATTTTTAATATTTTGCTTGCTGCTGTCAGTGTCACGGAATATTATTTTTGGAGTCACAGTTTATTGCTAAAGAATCAGTTACCTCACTCGGACCAGTTGAAAGTTCCAAAATAACATCCACTCCAGGGATACATATTCAGGATACGCAGAAGACTGCTGTTTTATTATAGGCGGTTGTCATATATTGTATTATCCGAGTTGCGCAGTGTATAAACTGGAACATTGAGATCGAAAGTGTCGACGCAGAGTGAGCGATCTGATTCTTTAGCTATAAACTGTGGCATAGGAATCAAAATGGCCGCGCCCTATGTTGGGCGTGTCGGACCTCTCTCTTGCACCGTATAGTAATCAAAGTATGTGGTCCGACCTCTCTCTTGCACCGTATAGTAATCAAAGACTGGATGGCTATATGACATAAACCCTACTCCTAATTTCTAAGCCGACATGGGTGAAAAAAATGGTAGGTGCGCATAACAATTTGGGCCAGACTGTCAATTTCGAGCATTCTTCGTCACGTTACCCACGGGCGTACTCAATGAACTGGAGTGGGGTAGAATGCTTGTCAATAGACTTGAGATTCGACTCTATGGGTGAAGACAGGTTATTTTTCATCTTACTCAGAAGTATTTATAACAACCATTTTCTATTTCACTTTGTTATGGTCTGATCCACCAGCTTGTGGATTGAACAATAACAATGTGAAACAGAAAATGGTTATTATAAATACTCCCGAGTGAGATGAGAAATAAAAATGGCTGCGCCCATAGAGTCGTATCTTGTTCTATTGATACAATATGCATATTGGCTTTCTACCCCACTCCAGTTCATTGGGCGTACTAGGATGAGTTATATTATTTTTTATTAATAACGCGCTATTTTAATAATAGAGAGTTGAAGTGTTTCCAGTACGTAAACGTAAATGCAGAAAACGCAGAAAAATAATGTTTACGTTGAAGTCCAAAATATGAGTTGAAGTTTTTTTCTTCTTTTTCAATTTTTATAGGCCTCAGCTGCCAGGGCTATTCGACCTAGCGTAATTATTTTGGTGTATTTTTTTATGTAAAAATGTGGATATAGTAAATGGTATATATTATAAATAAACGTTTATCGAAAAGTCACTTTATCACTTTTAACTTAACTCGATGTTTAATTTTTAAAGTCGGATGGTCACTTTCACACTAGATATTTTGTGATTGTTAATGGTAATGAACTTCCAAGACTCCCGATTCGAAGACCGCCATTTCAATGTTGCTACGACGATGTCCGAATGGGAAGTGTGAGTTGAAGTTGTTAAACACATCGTGACATTTACGTGCCATGACAGATAATGACAATTAATATTAGAATTTCTTCTTTCCCAATTAAAAAGAGGTTATTTTGTTTGCGTTATGTAAGCTTACGTATTTACGTAGACGTGAACGTGAAGGATATTTGAATACGCATGTACAGATGTCAGTTTTCACGTACACGTTTACGTTCATAGCATCACTTCAACTCTCTAATTATTATTATTGGAACATTTGTTTCAGCTGCGTATTAATGATTTTCTTAAATTAAAAGGTGTCGTAGTTGAATGTAAATAAATGTTAAATTTATGTTCCTATTTAGTGCATTTCGATACGCAGTGGGCACCACAATGTCAGGTATCACCTCGCTATGCGGCTTGACTTTGTTGATCGGCTTTGTTCTTCCAGTTTAATATATAATTCAGTTGGAGTCACCAAAACTTAACTATGATACTGGTAGTGCCATCTATTGATGTTACCTTACAACTTACAACTTATGTCACATGTTTATTTCTAAAAGTTAGTCTTTCTGAACAACTCAAACCGGTAGTTTTAATAGGTTATGGGCCCAGTTTACGAGCAGAAATAAAAACCGGAGACAATACTAATATTAGTATTAGTAGTTTTAATAGAATAAATATGGCAAAGACGGCAGCCATTTACTTAAATTGTAGTGTATTAAATATATATCTGTAATGTATGTACCTTATATACTTCCTATGTTCGTTAACAGGAACGAAATACTCATCATACGGACTCCTTCCGTCATCATCGTCTTTTTTAATAGGAATACTTGTTAAATTTTTACTATTATTACTTTCGCATGGTTCCTTAATGCCATTATGAATCCCAGAGGAAGGTTTCAAATTTATTAACTCTAAATTAACGGCTTCCGTTAAATATTCGTCGTTGGAAGTCAATGAATTAACATCTAAAATTAATCAACTTCGTCAAAAAATACAAAAACAATAAAAAAAGTTAAACTTACCTAATTCGTTCTTGTATGGCTTCTTATCATTGTGAAACGTACTTCTATTATCTTCGACAAACGCCGGATTGTCTATTCCATTCGGTCCAGAAGAATGAAGCTGCGAACTTTCTGGAGATAATTTGTGACTACTCTTATAATTCCTATTCATTTCTTCTAAATTACTGTGATGTTCTAATGACTCGTTAATATTAAGATTTGCCGTCGCTAAGTAATGTGGTAACTTTGAATTATTCTGCAATCAAACAAAAACATCGTTTTTATTATTTTTGCGAGACCCGAATTCAGCCGTGACTAGAGATAAAGGAAAATACTTGTGGGATAATAATTAAGGTAGCATTATAGATATAAGTGTAGAAAACAGATTGAAACTAAATAATTATTTTTCTTCTTTCAGATATAACAATACCTAAAGATTGTGCGCAAATACAAGAGGCAGAGCCAGCGATACAGAACCTACTCTGAGAAAAATTAGCAGTCAAAGAAATAAAGGCATCCATTTTGACTTGTAATGGCAAGTAAATTGTACAATGTCCTAGAAAATACATTAAAGGATCATGTAAAAGGAAGAAGAGGTGCTAAAGACTCAATTGCACATGCCAATGTACTCGGGCAAGTAAAATGCGCGCGCATCACTAGCAGGAAATGCCGCCACACGTTGGGCGCCAGTTAATACGTTTACTGATCCAATTAATCAGTCAGCATAGATTAAAGTTATTGTTATGCCCGGAAGCAAATAAATAATGTGCCACTGCTGATATTGTTTAGTTATATGCTCAGGGAGTGGGTTAAAATAGTGGTTACTTCCTGAGTCATATACATATGTGTGGGTTATATGACGGGCGTTACCGAATTTTACTAAAGCCTTAAGGCCGATCTCATAGCATGATTGAAACGTCTACAAAACGCGGAAAATAAAACAACCAATTCAATCAGTAGTACGTTTCGTATAATTACATACTAAACAGTTGATACAACGTACGTTAGCCCGTATGATCATACATGCTGCACAAAAAGTAAACAATTAAATTCAAAGGTGTACCAGTGGTTTGGGTTTCAGCCTAACTACGGCACAAGCGAGTGCTGTTACACCAAAAGAAAAGAAAATAACAATTAACTATATCAAAAAAATAAAAAACAAGCTATCGCGAGGGTTTTTGAACTTAGGGAAGATTGAGCCGTTCTCGTGCCGGTTTCAACCGGTATAATCCAAATCGGATGAAAGAATGATAAAACTAAAACTAGGACCATAGAATGTAGCCAAGTTAAGATTACAGATTATATTTTGATATATCAACGTGTTATATTATTACAATTTATAGGGTATCTAATTTTAAAATGAACACAATATATAGAATATACATATTTACCTAGAAAAATGGACAATATGACTAGGAACCGGATAGTCTTGAACCCAGTTAACGAGGAATTAGGGGCTAATCTATCTATAGAATAAATTTAAATGACACATTATTATTAAATTCTAAACAAAACTACAAATTACTTTATACAAATTCCAAACCATAACAATTTACACATGCTGGTTTACTGGCATGCTTTTTTGCATGCGAGTTCAATTGAGTGTACTGCGGTTCTTTGAATGTAGCGTCCGCCTAGATCACTCTCAGAAGCCAATACAAGTCAAGGGAATTAATTTGAAAATAAATTATTAATATAAATAACCAGGTTATAAAGTGTTGTATAAACAACTTAACAATGGTTTTAATTGACAAATTAGAGGACATATTGGAGGACATAATATTGAGCGAACAGAAGCCAAACGGTAGAAGAAATAAAGTATAAGTCAGTTCAGCATTTTAAGTGTTTTTAATTTTTGAATTTTTACAAATAGCAAATCACATCGAAAAGGTTCGACAGTGAATTAAATAGTACAACTTTGTCACTTGCAATAGAATGCGTAAGTTAAATAATACAGCCTAAACGATACAGAAGAATAATAAAAAGAAGAAAAAGTCTTATTTGGGTAAAACACAGAAGGGAAACTTATGAAGCAAGTGGTTGTTTGCTTACTGAAATGCGACAAGAAGACATTGGTATAGAAACCATTTAAGAATGTTTCCTGAAAATTTGATGACTTGTTGGCAAAAATTGAGAGCCAAATTAAAAAACAATATACCCATATGCGAATTCCACAAACATTTGTACCCTCTATACAAACGAATAAATTTTATCGTCTTTCACCTTTCTACCAAAACATGATGATAAAGTAACAAAACGAAAAAAAGATAAAACTACTCGTGAGGACGATCACAACAAACATGCGAGTGGTGGCATGCTAGTACCTGCCGTCTACACGTTGAATTAGGCATGCATTTTGTATTTCCCCACTATTCAACTGGCATATTGCATGCCAAAAATTAAATCCGATTCAATCTACTTGTATACAAGCTACTTGCATGCAAGTTAACATATACACATGCATGTAGTTTTAAAAGTGTAGTAGCTGGCATGCAAGTGTACAAGCTACGGGCATGTGTATCTCCGGCTATATTATTTGAATGCTAGTGGCTTGCTAGTAGAGTACTCGGCCTAGTACACTGGCATATACGAGTTATGGCCGAAACACTCTTTTTTCTACAGATATAGAAAAGATTGTGCCAAAAGTGAAGCTTTGAGGTATCCAGAAAGGAAACATTAGATATTGTTATGGGTTCAGACTGGTTCATTCATTTTACGGACCCTAATCCATTAAGAAGCTACAAAGCATGAAGATGGTTGAAAAAAAAAGAGAATCGATCCTTTCATTATCCAACCTTACCTTGATCATCTAAAATCTAGTTTAGATGAGTTAGCACTCAATGTTAAACTAGAGCAAATATAAAATCTCAAGCTATCTGTATCTGTAACTTGTGGAGAATGGGTTACCCCCACAGCTCACTGTGCATCCTCCTGAGATGATAGGTACCTCCTAGCTCGTGAGCCAGCCTACAGATTTAATCTAGTTGACAACGTCGCCAAGAGGTGCTTCTCTTATATCGGCCGGTGTTAGCCCATACTCGCCAAACACAAATCTTCTAATAAATGAGAGCGCCGAGAAATCGCAAAGGATATGATCGATGGTCTCATCTTCTTGTTCGCACCCTCTGCAGAGTGCGGATTCTGACAGCCCCATGATATGGAGATGCTTTCGTACTTGGCAATGACCAGTCGGAATGCCCATGACTAGGCGCAGATTCTGTCTAGTCATAGTCAAGTATTTGTTTGCTTCAGTATTGTCAGGATAACTTAAGAGCTCCCTGGTAACTCTGCAGTTTCTTGTTTCATCTCATCTTTTCTTGAAATTCACAAGGGAATGTTCTTTGATTAGGTCTGTCACTACCGATTTTGTCAGGCCAATAGAAGGGCTAGGTCTAAAAAGTATTTGGTTGGCTGCTTTCTTAGCTAGTGAATCAGCAAGACGGTTACCTTTCGATGTGGAGTGACCTTTGATCCATCTTAACGTGACCACATTGTTGATGGATACTGCGGCCAAAGCTTCGTGACATTCTAGTACTAACCCTGAGTAAATTCGTGGTATGTTCAGGGTGAGTAGAGCTTGTCTGCTATCTGTATAGCTGAGCATGTTCCTTCCAGTGATTTTGTTTCTGGTTATTTCTTTTGCTGCTATGAGAATCCACGTTAGCTCTGTTTGAACTACACTGGCACTATTGCTCACAGCCCATTTTATGTTTAGGTTTAAGAATCTGGAGTATATTCCACATCCAGAATCTTGTTTTGTTTTAGAACCGTCGGCATAGATATGAATCATACCTGCCACTTCCGGCTCTTCTATTTGTTCTACTATAACTTTATATGGCTTATGGAAAATATATCTTGGTGAGATGGAGTCCATGTTCGCTTAAAACTGTGGGAGCGTATCGAGCGCCTTCTGCCAAAAGCGACTTCTCGCCTCACCAGATCCTATATCAAGTTCTATTCCAATCGTGCGGAGGCGTGTCATTGTAGTCAGAGCAACCTCCTTGATGTAAACATCAAGGGGAGTGAGACTAAGAATGACTTCCATAGCCCTGGACGGTGTTGTTTTCATGGCTCCTGTTATGTTGAGACTTGCTTTTCTTTGAATTTATTCTAGTTTACATATAGCTGTTAATTTTTGGGTTTCTGTTAATTTTTGGCTATTCCAAGCATCCATATAAAACAAAAGTTGTCGGAAAAATAGGACTTTTGCTACAAGAATAACCAGTGGGCCAGGTTGTGAAAACATCACCATTTTGATAGCCTGCAGTGCCTCTGGGCAAATTGATAGTATTTAAGGGAAAAAGTATTTGGAGTGAGTGGGTGGGATCAAAAGATCTAGAATATCTTGGAGCCATCTTACGAAGCTAAAAAGAATGGCTAGTTGAAGGTTGAAGTCTTTGATAATTATCTTCGGAATACATTTGTTAAAAATATAGGCCCAGAAAGGTCACTCAACACACATTAACATTAGAATAATTGAAATGGCATTAGCTAAACAGACAATAATACTTTAATTTTCCTCCACATTCCTCGCATTTGCTTCAGCCTCTCGATTTCGCTGTCTTTGAGAATAACTTGAAATGCCAAATTAGTGGAATGGCTAAAAATAAATCCGGGAGTAAAAATACCAGAACCACAATTTTTAGAATTGATAGGGCAGATGTGGGTAGATTCTAGTTTCAAAATAATAAGAAATTATTTTTATAAAGCAGCGGTGTTTCCAATTATACCAGAAGAAAGCTTTGAAAAAAATAGAAAACTACAGTATCTTCAGCACTTAAGGTTACACCAACCACCAATGAAAGCAGAGTTCTAGTAAACGTTGGTATGGCTACTAGTAACAATATTGAGGCTGATTAAACATTAAATCAATAGATTGAAGAAAATTAACAGGCAGAATAAAAAGTTTTTTATGCTTACACTATTTTGGAAATCGGTTTGATCATCGCCATTACCATTGACGGGTAATGTGATTTCGTTTTTGTGGTAATACGTGTTATCCGGAGTTTCTTCATTCGATCCTCCTACTAGTGATATAACGTGAACGGCGGTGGTGATGTTTCCATGTTGAGGATTGTCTTCACTTCCGTTTGATTTTTCGTTGATCGAATGGTGTTCGTGAAGTCCTACGTTAGAATCTTGAGTTGTGTCACTACCGCCATAACTGCTGTCCGCGTCCATTATCTGGAAATATGAATAATTCGATTTTAATCAAAATATTGGTAAAAACTGTTTTTTAATATCGCTAAATTGATATGTAACCGGGTGGAATCTCCCTGGGTATCGAAGGAATGACTAGAATAAATATAAATAATAATAGATGTTTAAATATTCACAGTGTCTAGGTACACGCTAACTTGCACGCAATTCAAAAAGTTATATACACGCGAAACATCTTGACAGAGTAGGTGAGCTCTGTCTAGGCCGTTGGTGTTTATGCCGGTCAGCGTAGCTAGGTATGGATTGAAATTTACTACGAGAAGTCGTTGCTTCGTTTTCTTGTTGTCACGGCATGATTATTATTTGTTCATGTATGTGAAATTTGCTTCTAAGGTTTATAAAATACTACTGCTAGTCACGGCGTAAATGAAAACAAACAAGACGCATTCACACTAACACCTCCCACCGCAGCAATATGACGTTTCGCGTGTATATTATTTTATGATTTGTGTACACTTTAGCGTGTACCTAGCAAACAGCGTTAAATATTTATTCGAATTTAAACAATAACGTTATTAACGCCGTCCCGGTCCTGGTACGTATCAAGTATTCAATCTTCAAAAAAACATCCACCAAGAAGCGCTATTTATTGCAAGGCATCTAGATAGATGTGAGATCACCCGGTCGAATTCTTGCAGTTGTCTACTCAAGTCAATCAAATTTAAACACTGACTGCGCCGTGTATTACCGTCATTTCTAGCCAATGGTGTTAAACTAAAGCTAATCTACTGACGTCATAATATTAGGAGCTATAAATCGTCAAACACAAGCTTTTTTATGGAGAAGAACTCCTAGAATAGCAGAGATTTAGAACGCTTTCGCATTTCACATTGCATACACATCATTTCGAGCACCCATTTCATATTTTCTTAACAAAAAAAAGCCGGCATTTGCAGTCTTAATTTTCATATAAGTCTTTTCAGATAAAAAAAAGTTTTGAGCTGTACCTATACCTTCATTTAATTAAATCACAAGTGCACATCATTTTTATTTACTGAAAGCAATATTTTGCAATTTACGTTAAATAAAAATAATCTACTCAATTTCAATACATTAGAAATAGATCAGTTTACTAAGATGTAGCAGCTGGAATCTTAGTAAACTGATTTATTTCTAATGTATTGAAAAGAGATAGATTATTTTCATATGAAGTAAATGACAAATATTCAGTTTTTTTTTTAGTTTAAAAAGATTGTATTAGAATCATAATTTTATTTTCTGTAAATCCTTTTCCGTTTGACTTTTTAAGTGACTCTAATTCGAGTGCTTGTAAAGAATCAAGTGTTGTCCGCAAAGCTCTTAATCTTTTCTTTGGTATTGACCTTGAGGTAATAAACTATTTATTTTAGAAGGAATTTTAGTGCGCCCAATACTGTGTCTTAAAGAACACCACAAAATACCAATTCAGACTTACTGAAAATACTATCAACTTCTGCATATTGGACTAATCCTGAAAGTCAAACACTTTGCTCTTAATCCATATTATTTTCTCAAAGGCTTTTGAGAAGCTCACAAATACACTCGCATTTTTGTCTACTTTTGGTGTATATGTTTATCTACCATAAAGCCATATTGACATTATGAACTTTTGCTATATTGGATATCAATGAAAATAGGTCTATAGTTTGACATTTATGACTTACTTTCTTTTTTATGTAGCGGTTTAACAATATCTACCTTAAAAACATTTTAGAAACAACCTGTAGCCATACAATTATTAATTAAGTAAATCACATGTGTTGAAACTTCTTTATAATATATTTTTTAGGTTCTAAGATACAATTTTACATTATCCTAGTGACTTTTTAAACTTTTAATTCATTGATCAGATTTTTTATTTCAGATTCTGTTGTATCGAATTACATACATTTATAATATGTTTTGTAAAATCCTTTGAAAAATCTTTTATTAGACCAATGTCAATTGTTTTGTTTGAACAACACACACACATTTTACTTTGCTCTTCAAATATACCAAGTTTAGTATGGAAATAGTTAACTAAAAAAATAGAACTTAATACCATTGGAAAGCTAATGATTCAATCAATTAGATTGCAGTGTTTGTTAAGTGTAAAAATCATTATTTTGTAATCAAAAGCGCAGTTTAGTCAACAGGTTTTAAATATAAACTAGTTTTTATCTTGTTTTTTTGTGCCAAAAAAAATTAAGCTGATAAACACGGTAATTAGCATTTTATGGTAGTGACTATTGCTCCTACCTCAAATATCTGATAAAATGGAATGTGTAACATGCAAGACAAAAACTGGTGATTCTGTTTTGATATGCGACAGTCGTCAAAGGTCAACACAGAAAGTGTACAGGATTAAATGCAAGTGAGTTGAAAGTAATAGACTTAAAAGGGAAACGATTGCTAAAGTTCTACTGTGAGGACTGTCAGTCTGGAATAAAATTAATACTCAAACTACTAGTAAAAATTGATAAATTGGAGTTAGAAATTAATGCCTTAAAATATATCCAAAATGTTAATATTACTCCTACATATAAAGATAATGAAGAGTTGATTAGTGAAATGATGAATAGGCAAAGAAGAGCCTCAAATATTATTGTATACAATATTCATGAATCTAAAATGACATCTAATCAAGAACGTAATGTTGAAGATTGTACTACCATTCAAGAAATCTTACAGGATTTTAATATTGATAAAAGTAAAATTAAATCTTTTAGATTGGGAAAGTTCCTTCCGTCAAAAATAAGACCCATTAAAAATATTTTGCCTCTGCCAGAAAATGTTAAACTGATTTTAGAAAACAAAAATCTAGGCCGGGGAACTAGTATGAAAATTTATTCTGACCAGACAAATGCCCAGCGAGAATACTTAAAAAAGATTAAAATTAAATTACAAACTCTTATTGAGAATGGTGAAACTAATAAAACTATCAAATATATTAATGACAAGCCAACTATTGTTGACAATAATAATTACAATAAAAAAACTAATTGAGGAACCTAATATACCATTAAATTCTGATATTATTTATGTCAATGCTGAAAGTTTAATTAGTAATTTTGATCAATTATCAAAATATTGTTACTAAGCGAAACTAGAACAACAGATAGGTATTGAAAATAATGAAATAAATATAGAAAATTACAAATGTATCCACTGTGACTCCCAAAGTCGACATACAGGAGGAATTGTAATGTATGTAAAAAATGTTATAGTTGCTCAATTGTTAAATCATTTGTTCTGGAAAAAAATTATTGGTGCACGTTAGTAAAAATAAATTTTTCATCAGCAGTCTGGATTGTGGGATGCCTTTACTATTTTCCATCAAGTTCGAATGCAAAATTTCTAGAAAATTTTGAAGCCATTTGCGACAATATTGTTTTTAAAGTACATAGATTCGTATTAGTTCGTGATTTTAATTTAAATTTGCTTGGTGATAGTTTTTATGTTAACAAAATTAAGAATCTTTTCTCAAGCTATGATATCCAACAAAAAGTTACTAAACCTACAAGAGTAACTATTGATAGTAAGTTTCTAGTCGATTTTGTATTAACTAATGATGATAATTGTGATGCTGAAGTTCATGATACTCCGAAAATCAGTGATCATTCTGTGATTTCTGTAATTTTTTCTAATACAAGCAATACTTCAGTTATAAAAGTTATAAAAAATTATAGAAATTATAATGAAACTAACATTTTTATTATACAAAATAATCGGATTATGTGGAACTGGAATCTTGATGTTGAAGTAATTTATCTTGAGTTTTATTCAAATTGTAAAAGAGTTATTAATAAGGTTGCCCCTATTCAGACATGTAAGTATAACCCTAATGTACCATGGTTTGATAAATAAAATTAAAATCCGAGATAATGCTTACAAGTCTTTCAAGTCATGTGCAGAACATCAAAAGCTGAATATGTGTAATAAATTTAAAAAATGTAGAAATGAGGTAGTTAATGTGCTGAAATCAAAAAAATCTACTTATTATTTTAATAAAATTGATTGTTTCAGAGAAAATCCTAAAGAGATGTGGAAAACTTTAAAAAAACTGGTAAATATTAAATTAAATGATGTGACTGACCATGTTCAATTTGGTGATCAATCAGGCCATATTATCCTTTATGATAATGTTGACACAGCAACTAAATTTAACGAATATTTTGTTGAAAGTATTATGGATATTATTGGGAGTATTGATGCAACTGTTCCCTGGCATAATCTAAACAATAATTTATACTTACTATTTCACAACATTAATTTACTAACTGTACATGACTTATATAAAATTTTGAACTCGTTAGATAATAAATATTCTTAATTCTAAAGTTCTAAGGAAAGTGTATGCAACAATTGGGCACATTATTTTAAACTTAATTAATACCTCACTTTATACTGGCAAAGTTCCATCACAACTAAAAATTAGTACTATTGTTCCAATTCAAAAAGTTAATAATACAATAAAATCGGAAGAATTTAGGCCTGTAAATATTCTCCCGTCAATTGAAATGATAGAGCTGGTTGTGTATGAACAACTACTTAAACATGTTAATAATAATTCTATTTTAATAACTAACCAGTCTGGGTTCAGAAAAAAGTATTCCTGTGAGTCTGCATTACAGTTAATGGTGAGTTAATTTAAAAATGATGTGGATGAGAATAAATATGTAGTAGCTGTTTTTTTAGACCGGAAACGTGCATTTGAGACCATTGATAGGGGTATTTTACTAAAGAAAATTCAACAATATGGTGTAGGTGGAAAAGTATACAATGGCTGAATGATTATCTGCAAGGTCGTAGACAAACAGTACATTTTAACAATCAGATATCACCCGAGATTAACATTGACACAGGGGTTCCGCAAGGAAGTGTCCTAGGGCCGCTACTTTTTATACTATATTTGAATGATATTGGACTGTGTGTTGATTGTGAATTCATTATTCTCTTTGCTGATGACACTCTGCTAGCATGATCTGATATACATTTAATGAGTG